AGGATTCTACACATTAATGATCTAATCGAGGTAGCAACGAAGATGACAAGACAAGGGTGGGCGACGCCGTGGTCGTCGCTTGCACTGCCCTTCGTGCGAGGATGGTCATTGATTCAAGTCCTGGCCCTGACGAAGTACGTACGATGAATCATGTATATAACGTCGATACCAGGGGCTAGTAGGTTTAAGGCAACGTGGTCAGCTCGGTCGTGTTTGCGGTGTTCCTGCCGCTGCGGTCGCACTTCTCTTGCGCTTTTTGTACGGACGAGTGTACTGAGGTTCGTCCAGTTGGCGCAGTAGGCGCACCATTGTTCTGATCTTCAACTGACAATTACGTCGTCGCCGATTAGCGGACGTGCTGCCTTGGACGGCAGCCAACAGCCCCGAAGCAATCGGAAAAGCATCCGCCACGTCGACTTCAGACGGATTTGAGGGCATTTGACGGCCAGTCGTGGCCGAATAATGAATATCAGGGATCTGTAGAGACAAACCTTACCTGACTGTCTCGGTCGACTTTGACCGACACATCAAATTCCATGAGAGTATGAGAAAGAGATGAAAGAACCCTCCGTCACTCATTTTGATACTCCTCGAGCACAAGCATACAAAATCTGCAAACGACATCGGACGTTTGCCTTTGTATGTCTTGTCACCAGCTTGTAGCTCGTGGGCGACCGTCTTACGCAGGCCTACAATATTATATTATTTGTTAATATTTCGAATGTACCAAGAGAGAATTAACGAACCTGAAAATACTTCCTTGATATCGTCGCCGTATTCAATCGGGAGCGCAACTCCTTGGTCCTTGTAGAGACTTTGTATTGCGCTGCGGTATCCGCTGAGTGTTCCGACACCAACGTCCTTATTTTGGACTGTCCACTCGATAAAGGTCAAGAAATGCTCATACGCAAACCTCGACAGATCGAGAGTTTTGCCATCACGGCTGTCCTCGCACACCATCAGCAAGTCGTTGTCCACACAGTTCCATACAGTATTTCGTCAGCATGGCTTAATCTGCATGAAAATCAGAGCCTTGCCGATTGAGCATTTCGTCAAAGGGTTCCAGGAAAACAGTGCGTAATTCAAGAGGCTTCGGTCCAAGCCTTGACTAGGACTCTGTTCAGAGATGCGCAGGCCATTCGTTGACGAAGTTGGCTTTCCCGCGGGTGTCCTTGCCCAACGAACGATGATTCATCCCGACAACTCGGTGAGTTTGGATGACTGATGTCTTGCCCGCCGACTCGGTGGCTCATGCGCTGCCGTCGCCAGCACGACGGCATATTTGATTTTGAATGCACGACATTGTCGGGTTCGCCTTGAAAACGCATGGGAGATAACGATGATGCTTGGTCAGTTTGGCATACACGCCGGCAAATCAACAATGCGCGGAATCGGCAGTACTGCGATGCCGCAGTGTTCAAGTATACAAAGGTGTTGATTAAATTACATTTCGATTGTGTCCAAGCATCTGAGGACCTCGAGGCAATCGCTGTCGAGGGCCCAATGCACGGCGGCGTCGAAGTCGGTCGGCGAGTCGATGGTCGTCCAGATCGGGTCGATGGAGTACTCGAGCTTTGGAGTAAAGTCAAAGGGGGCGGATTTGGCCGCTTGGCAATGGTACGTCGCAGGTGTTGCCGCCGGTTTGTCGTGGTTGGCTTGGTCAAGAAGGCGTCGGTGCCGCGGACAGTGGTTGGTCAACCGCGCATTCGAGGTACACCCGGGGGATGCGCACTTCTTTCCGCCTCCGTGGGTCACACAACGCCCGAGCGCGCGGGGTTGCTTGGTACAGCCTGGCTCGGAGCACGTCTTTTTCAGGCTCACTGTGGTGTGGCGGGAACACAGGTTGCCAACGCGGGAGTTGGCGGTGCAATTGGGCATTGCACATTGTCGCTTTCCTCCATGTTTCACGCACAGCTGCCTCGCGTACACTTGGTTCCGGCAGTCAGTGACGGCGCAGCACCCGCGGTGGCGGTGGAAATGGCACTTTGTCGCGCCGTCCAGGGCCGCGGCTGTGCAGTCGTTGAAGTAGCACTGGTGCTGCGGTGACACCACGTCTGATGAGTGTGTCTGGGGCTGCATGAGATGTGGGCACAAGCCTCCGAAATTCAAAATGCTATGTGCTCATCCATGCACGCCTGTTGGACATGCAACTCGTTTGTGGGATCTCCGAACCTCCAGACAACTTGGTTGTCTGTTTAGAGACTGTGCCACGACCAGAGGTGCATGGGCCGCCACATGGAACTGACGTGTGGGACTGTTTACACGCCGCAGGATCGTAACACGCGGGATGTGGTGCCGACAGCTCACGTCGAGACGTCGGCGTCACCACGACGTCAGCGACCGGAACAGGCAGGGGCACTGTGCCAGAGCGTTCTCCTAGCGTTCTCCTTTCTCTGGCCTCGTCGTGTCGGCCCCGCTGCCGATGTGTTATGCCGTCACACCAGCGTAGACACTCGCTCGAGTTGACATCGTTTCGATCAGTACGCTCGAAGCCTTCCGTTCAACACAAGAGAAAAGCACTGGCAGCGCACCGCCATTTCGGCATCCTTCGCCCGACCGTCGATTTGTCGTGGTGGGTGAGGCATACTAACTATTTTGCGCACGGAGCAATTGTCGCTCCTGAACAAAATCAGGGGATATATCCAAGTGCGTTGTGAGTCCTGATTTCAAGGCAAGTTGTTGATATTCCGTCGTACAAAAGAAACCAAATTGATCTCCCTCGTCTGATGGAGCCTTCATGTACCAGAGGGCATTTAAGACGGCATCATGTCAAGATCGTCCATGTACTATTCGATTAACTCTCGATCCATAAGTATGTCTGCTCCTCCAGCTCGTTTTGATTGGCTAAAAATGTGAGGAATATGACTTTTGGGGCTCATCTGACATATATTTTAAGCCAATCAAAACAAATTGCATAATACTGTGCACTTCTGTCAGGATTTTGAACTGTCCTTCCTACCTGTAGTCAAATCCTTTCGAGAAGCAGCTGTGCCATCACGGTAGCGGATATCGATGGGTGGCGAAGCGAGAGCTTTGCTGGAGCTATGCGCACGATGCTGGGGTCTTAGACAAGTAGGCCGTCCAAGGACATGCAACTTCTGTTGGCGATCGTTGCGCTTGGAACTTTCTCGAATCTGGCTTGTTCATTTCCATATGCCCCAAACATGATTTGTTGTCGCCGTAGTTGCTGAGAACCAATTTGTTGGGTGGGCTGCGTGTAGGCGTACTGTAATGGCGCCCCCCCCGTGAGCACACTGCGGCTCTACATCAGCGAATTCTCATTTCAAACGTCTCAATCCCAAGATCTGCTGCGTGGCTGAACGTGATGGTCCATTCGACACAAGCCGCCCGCCCCACGGACTCGAGGAGGCGTCGCCGCATCCATGAAAACCCATCGGTGACACCCAGCAATGCACGACTGCGCCATGCACTCGTAGAATCGTACAAGTTCATGTTCCTTTCCAGGTGACGCCCACCGTCGGCAACTGATTGGAACTTGTCCTGTTAAACGTGCTCACGACAACCAAGATGAAGAGTGTACCATCGTTGTCGCCTTTGTGGCTTTCAACACGATGCATGGGTGACAAGGCGAGATGTTGCACGAGCCTTGCACCTTACCGCAGCGGGAAAATATGCGAGGAGGATTTGAATCATTGTAGTATAACAAAAGGACGACCCCGACCATTTCTATCCGTTGTTCTCGATGATATCTTGGCACGATGCACCTGCTGGGAACGCAACAAGCGTTGGACATCGTGGCCAGAAGCCAACGGCAATCACACCCAACAACTCGACACCTTGCTGAATGACTCATCAAGTGACTCGCTTCGACGGAACCAGGATGTGGACTAAAACTCGAGTGCACCCATGTTCGCAAAGCTTTTCACCGAAAATCGTTGCTTTGTGGGGGTCGACATTGTGTGGTAGTAGAATTTACTGGTTTTGAAAAGCACGGACGCCAGTTTCGGCGCGTCGAGTACGCCCTACCTTCCACACAGCGCAGCGATTGACGCGGAGGCAGGGCCGCTGTCTCCCTCGCGAATGCGGAGCGAGGTTACTAATACAACGAATCCGTCGTCCGACAGCCGCACGACGGCCTGGGATGGATTTGTTGTTGTCGCGAGCAAGCGAAAAAGGTGGAGGAGGAGGGAAACACGATCGAGCCAAGACCCTTTGCGTCCACATCAGAGAATGAAGACACAGCCACGCCAGTCAAACTCTGCGTCGTGGTTGCAATATACCAGAGCCCAACTACATGTCGGCATAATTCTTGCTGCAACGGGAGCCGACCAACCTTAGTTGTGGTTGGCATTGCGTTGGATGGCGACCAGAACCCACGAATGCTGGCCACCATGGTCACTTGTTTCGCCGCTTGCGCGATTCGGTCGCCAAGAGCTCGTTGCAGGTATTTTTCATGATAGTGTCATTTTGTTCTTGTGGCTGTGGTGGTGGTGTCTGGGCCAGCGAAGGTGAACGGTGGCTAGGTACAGCTCTTGAGTCTTGCGCAGGCAGTGCCTACGCAGGCGGTGACGTCTTGAATACCCCTGCGGTTCGACGCCACCAACACAGCAGCTCCACGACCATTGCTTATGTGTGATCATGGTACGCAGGCTGGCGGTGGAGATCGTGGGCCACCTTTTGTTTTGTGGGTGGTGTGCGGTGGGCATGGCGCGATGGCGGCTGCGGACGTGAGGAGGTTGTTGGGGTGATGGCTGGATTGGTGGCAATGTAAATGAAATGATTGTTCTTGACACACATGGCAAAAATGGGGACGCCACTGGTAATAGGAGGCATCTGCGGCGACCACCGTGGTGGATGCATCCTTTCCCACCTTCGCTTCCTCAGACATCCACGGCCATCCACGGCCAAACCGGTCCTCGGGACCACCACCATGGCATGTTGTACTTCTACGGCTGGAGGCACCACAACAAGGTCTCTCGCGGCCACCACCATCACCTCGGCAATTCCGATGTGTGATACAAGCGGAGTTACCTCTCATGGCCACCGAACCACTGCCAAGACTTGAACGTCGACTAAATTTTCGCATTCATTTTTGGAGTGCTCGTTGACAAACTCCGCTTGACGGTACATGCGTCCACTTGCAATGGGTGCAGTTGGTCCGCAAGACATCCATGAAGGGCATCGTTCGAGGATACGTGCATTATTCACAGGATGACATTCAATATTGCCTTCCACGGTGAATTTATCAACATGCCCTTCGCTCGAGCTTGATTGGCGTTGGAAACAATACGACGAGGTGCGCGGCCAACTGTCCGGGCTGGAATCCCATGGTGCCCAAATTGTCCTTTCACTCGCCACACCACTCCCACGTTGGCGGCAAGAATATCCACACGTGGTCCCATTCTGTGGCACGGCGCTCAAAAACGTAAATCTTCCATGCGTGGTGGTTTGGTCCGTACAATATCGTGCACGAAATCTACTACTGATACGGCTGTACAATTTTTGTAGAGTTCAATAAGTAGGGCATCATGTCACGGCCGGTCGCATCAGGTTGATGCATGATGGGAAGTTGGTGTGCGCCGCCGGATCTGGGGTCATGCGAGGGCACTTTTGCGTAAGGACAACATCATGATGAAAATAAAAATAAACTTTCCTACCTGGTGGATCTTGAATTCCCATTTGTCAAGGGGATAAAATCTTTCCCTCCTTCGAGATAACCTAGACACAAAATATGACGAGAGATGGATACACGGCGTATCAAACAACCACGCACAGCCAATCGATTGCACGACACGTGGTGCGGGGGCTGCCGCGCCATGTTGGACTGCGCTGGTGAGGCCCGCACTTGAATGGAAATATCGGAAACCATCCGTTCGAGCTCGAGACGTGTTGGGATATTTTGTACATTTCAAACGGAATTTTCAATTCTCGAAGTGTTTGTCGTTGTGTTGGTGGTAAAAACCCGATTTTTTTCGCATGGCATCTCGGGTTTAAGGTTTTAATCATTAAAACCCGGTTCCTGGGTATTAAAACCAAAGTATTATTCACGAGCATGCGGCAGTGCTTACACAGGGCCGATTTGTGCTGGTGCGGGTTAACGTCGTCTGTGTAGAGAATCCACAGGTCACGGCGTTGCCGACCCCGTTGACGCCCTACTGAAGCAACATCGACATTGCCATTGCCGTTCACTGTCAATGAATCACCGCCGCCTGCCTCGGACCTAGGATCAGCGTTGATATTGCTGTCGTCGGCGATGTCGCTTTCGATGTCGATGATGATGGCCTCCACCTCCACAATAGGGACGTTTAGCAAGTCTGAAATCTAGGAACTTCACAGACTTTCTTCTACCTTCGATTTGTTTGAAGTCTGGAGCCCGAAGTCTAGCGAATTCAGATTTAGCAAGTCTGGAGTCTGTCATATGTTCGGCATGCCCAATCAAATTCAAGACAAAACGCAAAATGCGTCCTGAGCATCAATTGATCTATCGTAGCCGACTGCCGTTGCGTCTCAAGCTCGCCCTCCTGCGTCGCAAAGCCGCCAGTACACAGCTAACCATTCCTAATGTGACATTTACCTTGGACACGTTCTCCGACAACGATTGCCTTTCCAAGTTTCGTTTCTCCAAATCCACG